CGGAGTCCAGGGATCGGAAGAAGGCTTGCGGGAGAGCTATTGGAATGGTCTGGAACAGGTACAGCAAGCGTGGTAGTAAGTTCATCTTCACTGCATTTATCCGTCCGAACCATGACACACAGAGCTTCCCCCAGCGCATCAAGTCCGTTTGGAGTGTGCGGAGGATGGGGAGGAAGTTTTCCTGGTAGAGCTGGTTCAGGTCCTTCGTCAGCCAGATCCCTAGGTATTTTAATCGGTGTGGACACCACCGAAAGGGGAAGCGAGCCTGCAAATGTTCCACCAGCTCATGTGTCAGGGATATGGGGAGAGCTTCCGACTTCGTCGCGTTGAGTTTCAAGTTTGAGAGGGCTCCAAACGCATCGAATGCCGAGAGTAGATTGGGGATCGTGACCAGTGGGCTTCCTATGAAGAAGAGGAGGTCATCCGCATAGGCCGCCACCTTATGCTCCCGGCCGCCCTGGGTGAGCCCCGTAATACCCCCATCCTGTCTGACCGCCTCCAGAAATGGTTCCAGAGAGAGGGCAAACAGGAGGGGGGACAGGGGGCACCCCTGCCGGGTCCCGTTTTTTATCTCAAATGTCGGGGAGAGGACTCCATTGATCCGGAGCTGGGCCGTTGGGGTCGCATATAGCGCTGCGATCCATCGCAGGATGTTAGGGCCGAAACCCATCTTCCGGAGAGTGGTTTGGAGGAATTGCCAGTCCACCCTATCAAAGGCCTTCTCGGCGTCGGTGGAGAGGAGAAGGCTACCCCGCTCGGAGTGCTGTTGTGAGTGCATGATGTTGAGAGCCCGGACCCTGTTGTCCTTGGCTTCTCTCCCCGGGATGAAGCCAGTTTGATCCGGGTGGACCAGCATAGAGACCAGGCGGCCTATGCGGGTCGCTAGGACCTTCGTAAAAAGCTTAAGGTCGGAGTTTAGCAGCGATATTGGTCTATAACTGGAGCACGCGGCCGGGTCCTTGCCTTCCTTGGGTATGACCATTATGGTTGCCAGGAGGGTGTCCCCCTGGAACCGACCATCTTCCAGAAGTGAGTTCAGGCCCGACAACAGCTCCGGTAACAGTATCTCTCCGAATGCCTTAAGGTAGCATGGGAGGAGCCCATCTGGTCCTGGGGCCTTGTCGAGCGGGGTGTTTTTTAAGGCCCCCTGGAGCTCCTCAATCGTGATGGGGGATTCGAGTTCCTCACTTTGTTCGCGTGTGAGAGTCCGGGTGACATGTTGATCTAGGTAAGCTTGTGTCTTCGATTGTCTCCTGTGTGTCTCCCCGGCTGTCCTGTCCGGTGCAATGTTGTAGAGTCTAGCATAGTATTCTCGAACTTCCCCGATTATCTTGTCAGGCACTTGCGTAAGGGGACTGCTGTGCTTCCTGATTTTAGTTATGTGGCTCTGGCGGCGTTTCTGCTGCAACATTCTGTCGAGCAGGCGGCCACACTTATTGGAGAACTCATGGATGTAGCGGTGAGTGTGAGAGTTGTTTAGACAGTTGGTGTTGTAGGGCCCGTCGGGCTTCTAATAGCGCTCTGTATACTTCCTCCGAGTTTGTAGCTTTGTGTTCTTGGTCTAATTGGGCGACCCGCGCATGGAGTTCAGTTAGGAGCCTGCGTGACTCCTTCTTTCGCGCTGTGCCGACCTTGATGAAGTATCCCCGGATTACGCACTTATGCGCTTCCCAGCGGGTCAGGTGCGACGTCTCCGTGGGGTCGTTTTCATTGAAGTATTGGCGGAGTACCGTCTTGGCATCCGCAAGGGTGACTGCATCAGCAAGCAGTTGGTCGTTTAGCTTCCAGTGCCGGCGTGTGGGCTTATGCAGAGGGGACGCCATGACGGCCAGGACCAGAGAGTGGTCGGACCAGTTGACTGGGAGGATCTCACATGAGTGCAGCAGGTGGAGGTACTCCTGGGAGATGAAGATGTAGTCTAGCCTGCTGTGTCCTCGATGCATTGGGGAGTAGTAGGAATAATCTCTCGCGTCCGGGTGAAGGACCCGCCATCCGTCCGCGAGCCCTGCTGTTCGAAGTGCCATCTGGGTGACCCGGAGGCAGGTTTCCGACAGTGAGCTACCACCCCTCGAGGTGTCTATGCGGGGGTCCATGGGGACGTTGATGTCACCCGCGAGGATCAGGAGCCCCTCCCAGAAACCCTCAAGCAGCCGCGCTGTTTTAGCGAGGAAGCGATGTTGTTTGGTATTAGGGGCGTACACGGAGGCGAAGGTGTAGCGCCGGTCCGCTATCGTGCCTTTAAGGAACAAGTAGCGCCCATTCGGGTCAGCCTATTCCTCTATGCAGTTGAAGGGCACAGTGCTAGCGAAGAGGATAGCCACTCCTGCTTTCTTGGAGTCTCTGTGGTTGGCGAAGTATCCCGCGGGGTACCTCCAATCCCTGGATTACTCCTTTTCTGTGTCCCTTGCTCACCGCTGATGGTCCTTCCACAGGGGCTCACTGATTATGAACAGGCCTGATGGTAAGGTACTAAAAGGGGTTCAGTGGGTCTTGGGGGCAGGGGTGGGGAGTCACCTCTGCAATTTTATAAATGGGTATATTTTGTAATTTTGTAATCTTGTAATTTTGTAACTTGACACCTATGCTCTATTATTTGAAGGTATCTATGCCCTCTCCTCATTGGGTATTTATTACCATATATGTTTGTGTGGGGTGGCAAGCATCGGGGACACTAGGGGAGGTCCGGTGTTCTAAAGTTTTCTTTTTCATCTCTGTCACTGGGCCTTTTCCAAAGGTGCACCACCTGGGATCAACACTCTGAAACTACATTGGTAAAACTCACAAAGCTTTTGCTGACCGCTTACCTCCACCAGGGATTGGGTGTTCAGTTCCTGGTGACAGACTCCTATTCTCTGACTGGTCGAGGGGATAGAGTCTGATCACTCCAGACACATGGGTCTCTTGCCTATTTGTATATACCTTAGCTTTTTGTTAGGTTTCGGTTTTTATTTCGTGATTCTACACCCAAGGGTGGGTAACCACCGTCTCTACCTACACATGTAGGAAAACAAAACACTCCCTATAGAACCTCACCTGCAACTCTTGCAAGATAGTATTTTTCCATGTCCACAACCATATCAGGCTCTCATAGCTTTAACGAACTCTCACTCAGTATGAAAGGTCTTAACGTTTAAGAGAAGAGGTTCCATGCACTTGGTTTCAGATAGAAAGCACACATTACGTACAAGAAAAACTAAGAGGAACAATCCCCTAGACTGACAAACTTATATCCTGAAAATTCATGACACCAGCCACTCCTTCCAAGATAGTGGAGGTCCTTCGGGACTTTTACACTGTTCCGCGTCTAACCTCTGAATCCTCACACACAAAAGATACACAAAAGATGGTTGCAGGCAAATAAACAAACACAGACACTTCTAGAAGCAGCCCAGGTTCTAGATTACCCAACCAAAGAGAAGAGCTAGTACATGCTTTAAAAATCTCTGAGCTAGGGAAATGTCTGGGGCCAGATGGGTTGTTGCTTCACAATTACAAGCAATTTGCAGGAATATTGTTTCCTTGATTTGTGAAGGCCCTCACCTCTCTCAAAGATAAGGGTACAATCCCCTCACAGACCCTGGTGGACAAAATCCCAAAGATGGCCAAGGAGGTGGGCCCCATCTCACTATTGAATTGTGACTTAAAATTATTCACGAACTCGAACATTAAGGGCGTACACATAGGCTAGACTGAAAACAAAGTCATGGCTTATCCCGATGATCTGCTTTTTTATGTGCCACTACCCTTCCTAGCATTTTGTGGGATTCCTATTTCAACAACTTCTGACATTCCTTAGAAACATCCCACAGCATCCTCTCCTTGCCAGGCACATTTTCTCATTTGAATCATTGTGCGTTCACCCTGATTCTCTAGAAGATGTGATTTCATTTCTTTATAGCACTCTGCAATCTCAAGCAGGAACATCACCCCTGAGGTTCATGGGGAAACAGGATAAGCTGGTAGTTTCATTCACTCCAGCTCAGTGGGAAACAATCTGTGACCTCACACAACAGTGCACTTTCCAGTAAGATACACAACTCAGCTTACAAATTGCTTGTCCACTGGTATAGAACATCACAATTGCTGCCAGAAGTAAACAACTGGTGTTGGAAATGTCATAATGCAGCTGGATCTTTTTTTGCATATGTGGTGAGAAAGTCCCTTGATTCGTACTTCCTGGAGTAGGATTTACACCCTGCTCCAGAAATTCTCGAATGTCCCTCTCCTCTTACTAGCACCCATGCATTTAAACCATGACGATCCGTAAGTTTCTATACAAGAAATTCATGACTATACGTATATAACATGTACCTAAAAGGCATTATACTTCTTTTGTGAGGTAAAATAAATGAAAAGTAATTAGTACCTCCCACCTCCAGACTAGCAAATTGATGACTGTCTATAGAGAAGCTGGTGTTTGGTGCACAAAAAAAAGATATCTGGCTTCTGGACCCAGTGGGCATTGTCCACAGACACGTTCAGGACTACGTTACTGTGAGGATTTATTATTTTGATCTAAACACCTGATATTGGGTGGGGGAGTTTATAGAGTCAGAGTCATGGTGGTTTTCTCTTGACAGGTCTCTGTTTTGCTCTAATTTTCAAGCAGGGGTTGTTGACTGTTTGAAGTCTTGTTCGATGTAAAATTCAAGACCAAATTAGCTGAATTTTCAGCACAGCCAACTGAGAAAATGTTTCAGTTTGACTACATTGGCCTTAAATTCGAAAAAAAACTTTGAATTTCTGACAGTTTTCACTTTAGTGCATGGCCCTACATGTTTTAAAGTTGTGGCCTACTCCCTCCATAGGAAGCTGTGTGTGCTGATGGGAAATGCCATGCTCCTGGGGATGTGTCTTAGATCAGTAAAGGTGATGGTTCTTTGAGAATGAGAGGTTAGTCATGCTCATACATTAAAATGCTTTGGTGTGGACAAACTTTGCATTTTAGTTGACATTTGGTACAATGGGGAGTATGTGTATGAGATGGCCATGCAAAATATGACAGACTCCCCTTTTCTTAATCACCTGATTATACAAATATTCTGCAAACTTCTGTGCACATATTGGCAACTGGTAAAGCATGTTGGGTTAGATGCTTATTTACTCACACTTAGGGTACCAATGCGGCTGGATATTGGTAAAATGTAAACAATTACGGTCTGTCTAGTTCAATGTATAAACTGAAATGCGTTAGGATTTAACATCACTAGAGTCTTTGAGAGTCTTGAAAATGTAACCACAATACAGAGCGACTGCACCCTAGCTGGAAAGAAAAGCATTTCCTCTAGGACAAATGGATGGCTGAGCATTCTAGAAAAGCAGTTCAAAAGATTAACAATCACTGCTGTATCATTTTTTTAACATTTTAATTTTTTTAATTTTTTTTTTTTTTTTTTTATTGCAACAGCACAACCTCTTCCATCCAAAAGGTTAAGCTAATCAACACATTTTAGTCAAAACTCAGTATATGACCTTTGTTCATTTGTGTCATATACTACCTTATCAACCTGAGAAAATAATTGCCATAAGATTTCTTTAGAATGGTTTAAAACAAATTTAAAGAGGATGAAAGGAAGTGATAAATTCTGTAACGTTTGACTGTTTATTTTTGGTTTAATAAATACATTGGATTTTAGAACATTTTTAACATTTAAAAAAAAAATCGTTAGAAAATATCTGTTTTAAATCAGTTTCATGACATCAGTAACAAAGACTCCAATGCCATCATAGATTTCATGAATAGGACTGTTGCACATGAAAGCGCTGGTGGTAACTAGCTTGTTTTTCTTATCCACGTGAACCTCATGAACTTCTTTATTGATGTGTTTACAGCCAAGATCTTTGATGGCACCAGCTGTACCAGCGTATGGCCATCTGTAAAAATAATTAAAACATAAATAAAATTTTAAAAATAATAGATAAAAATCTCATTTATAGCAGAATATGAATATGTGTTAATGGATCTGTTCTGAACAAAACCACAACTGCTAGAAACTATAGACCTACAGGAAGAACAGTAATCCTGCTCAGCACTCTTCCCCCTCCTCTCCATAGTCTCAATTGTATCTTTCCAGTTTACAGATCCATAAGTTGTTCTAAAAATTGTCAGAGAAGGTGAATTCCACTGGAATTAATTTACTTACTTTTCACACTCAGTATCACAGCCAACAGTGACTTCACACCCAGGAAGGAGCTTAGCTGCCAGAACAGGTGATATGCAGCACAGGCCAATAGGTTTTTTGGCAGCATGAAATCCCTTGAAAGCCACTTCTACTGCTTTTTCAACAGAACAATCTTTTCCTTTCACAGCCCAGGAAGAAAGGTTTTTAGCAACTCCAAAGCCTCCTAAATAAAACAAAGACAAGATCAATTATATATTTATTAGACCTTAGCCATCTACAGCCAAATGTCGTCTTGATCTTTGCTCAGATGAAATGTCAACCCTATATTTTACTGTACAAACCATGCAGTGATCAACTTAAAAACATAATTTTGTTTGAACTAGAACATTGCCCCATGGTTAAGACATTAATCAGGAATGAAACCATCTCCTTTGTCCTGTAACCAAGTGGCTGTATGGGACTGAAGAAGACACAGGGTCTAAAATAGGCTGATCTGTGGAACCTCTAATGAAGCCACACATTTCAGTTATTTCCTCACACATTGAATATTTACCTGGTATTATAAGTGCATCATAGTCACTGACGTTCAGGTCTTTTAGGTCCTTAATGTTCCCTCTGGCAATTCGGGCACTCTCGGTGAGAACATTACGTTTCTCTTCTGTTGGCTGTCCTTTCACGTGGTCCACCACATGCATCTGATCAATGTCAGGTGCAAAGAACTGAGTCTGCAAAAACCAAGTAAGAAATAGATAAATACTACATATTACACCCTTTCAACATTATTAAATAGCTAGTTATTTGCACATTTAATAACTGCATACACTTTCTTTTTAAAAGAAGTATTTGAACAAGTTGATCGTAAATTAATGTACGGTATTGCTACTTTTTTTTTTTTTTTTAAACATATCTTTTATCCTTCATGGTAGAGTTATTGAGATATTTAAACAGGTATACGGTAGTTAATTGCTCAACTAATTAAAAAAAAAAAAAAATTGAATCATTATAGGATAATTTTCCACATGCTGTTCATTTTCACAAGTTTTTATTTATTTATTTTTCTTAATTTAAATAAGTTTTTTATAGATCCTACATTTTTTCCATCGTTTATGTGAGAAATGACATTTAGGGTTGAATGTTTTAGAAGTGAACCGGGTCACACACACATGGCTATTCCCTAAGGTGAGAATTATGAGGAATTCAAAGTGAATTTGAAATTTAATGCAGACTTGAAGAATTCACATTGCATTCCCAACAATTCTAACTTTAGTTAATACGTTTCGAAGTAAAAAGGCATAGTTGTTGCACAGGGGTGGGTGGTATATGAAGCATTTATTTTGTTTACAGCCGTTCCTAAGCTCCTACCCATACCCAGCTATAGCGACACTGGCTACTTGAATGATCTAAACACGATCAGCTCCTATGTATACTTACGAGGATAAACACAAAGTACATATTATTTACTAACTGTGGGGCACTTCCTGGAAAAATATTTCGCACTTCCATTCATGCGTTGTAACGGTGATGCACTTTTTTTGTAACAAAATTCATCAATTTTCATATATTATATATAAAATGTTGCAATTTAATTCCATCACATTTCAGTGTTTAGTGAATAAAATTTTCATTTACTCTTCCCTTTGACACTCAGACTGCTAATTACTACACCATAAAGAAAAAAAAAAAAAAAAAAACGTTGTGTTTCTTAAATCCTACATGTTCAGGCAACAACACTGCAGTTTACTGTTTAGTCATATTTGGTTAAGCTATATTTAACCCTTGCCAGTATCATCCACACAGTGCACAATTAAATTGCGATCAGTTTACTTAACTCCAAGAAAGTGGACAAGTTAATGTAAAACATATTTTAGTTACAAGTAAGCAGTCATGTTATGTATACAAAAGGTCAGGTAAACAAAAAAAATCCACTAATATTATACATATAAGGACTCTTGACATTTCTCTCTTTTTTTCCATATGTATAGGCGAAATGTTTCGTAAAAAACTGAATAGAGAAACATTTGTTCTAAAATAACCAAGTTGGAAAATGAGCTTAAATGGAAATATTTTCCATGTCAGCAGTTGAAACCTAGATCTTAAAAACCTTTGTTTTAATTGATTGTTTATATATAAATAAAAAAAAAAGTACTTTGTATGTTGCGCTACCTCATGCACACCTACTGAGTGCACTAAAGCAGGAACAACAGAGAACTGAAACTTCAGAAAAAAATAGCAGAACTGAAGGAACTCTTTACAGGGTTATTAAGTGAGAATTCAGAGTGAATTTCATTTTAAGGCCAAAGTAGCCAAACTGAAAGCATGGCTGACAGACAATTTTTCTAGTTCAGCTATTTTGGTCTTAAGATTGACTTTGAATTCACCTTGAATTCTCACTTCAGTGAATTATCTTATAAACTTGCAATTCCCTTGTCACTTTAACCACAATTCCAGGTTTAACAAGTAACATTCCAAAATGTAATTAATGAGTCGCAGGAAGTCTCCTCCAAGTCTGTTGTAATTCAAGTAATTCAATTCAACTTACCACAGCACCAGCTCTGCTCAAATGAACATAAGTAGCAGACGATTCGTGAATTTCACTCCCATCGTACACGCCACAGCCAGAAAGGATCACGGCAACCTTCTTTGACATGATTTCAAAAGAGAGTGTGCGATTACTTCTGTTACTGAAGGAAGTAGAGTAATGTATAGCTGTGCTACGGAGTCGTGTCTTTATACTCTGTGACAGGAGGTGTGCACTGGGCAAGGAAAATGGGAGGATTCTGTGTACCAGGAAGTCTTCTGATATTAACACTGAACTGCATTTCCTTGAAAAGGATTCATCCTCGATGACACAATAGGCTTCTGTTACTATTTCACAAACCCTTAATTATTATGTTTTATTATTTCATGTTGAATATATGTGAGTGTTGTAATTCGATACTCTATGATGTTTCTATTTATGCTGACTTTTAAAAAATGATACATTAAAAACAAATTAATGGCATGGATATGGTATATGGTATAGGGAAATGGTGAAGAAATGCCAAAGGGATTGCAAAATTGAAATTTAAGCTATCAAATATTTTCCAACTCAGTGCTGTGGTTAACGTTTTGCAATTTTTTTAACTGTATAATCCTTATTGAAGATTTTTATTTTTTAAAAAATCTTTTTACATACATTGTTTTTTAAAAAAAAAGATAAGTGTAAAAGCATGGAGGTTACATTGTATTTCAACAGAATTTTAACAATAGAGAAAGATACAAAATTTTTTTTAAATTCTTTATTTTTGTTGTGCATGAGAAGAACAGTATATCAGTGATCATTACTTAGTGACAGGAGAAATATCCACTATTATAGGTCTTAAAAAAGAAAAGAAACTGTGCAAAATTTTGTAATAAAGACAGGCATTTGTCTAAGTAGGTGCTAAGCAGACAAGCGAGACAACCTAGATGTGAAGATTAATAACAAAGAAATAGTTAATAAAATATGCTTAATATTAGTTAATTGTTAATAAAACTACACAATCTAGCTATGCCAAGGTAGTGTTATAAAAGATAGGTGCACCAGCTTTATTATAGATAAACTATGTTGAGACCCAATATTAGCCATGGGCTGGACTGCTGAGTTAACTAGAGATGAGTTACACACCCACAAGGCCCCCCCGATTAGAATGTTAAAGCCAAATTATCAAAGATATGCCCACTCCCAAATCAACAAAGCATGCCTAGTGAAATAAAATAAAAGAGAATACAAGCAAATAATACTGTGCATTGCACAGGGCCAGCCTAAGGCGTTGTGCTGTCTGGGACCAAGGATGAAATGCTGCCCCCCCTCCAACAAAACACACATTATGTTATGTAGTGCGTGTGTGTAGTGGATGCAGTGTGTGTAGTGGATGCAAAGTGTGCATTTGTGTAGTGACTGCAGTGGCTGTGCATTGCATTGTGTGTGTGTGTGTATGTATAATGGATGCCGAGTGTTTGTGTGTATAGTGGATGCAGAGTTTGTGTATGGAACTAGATGGAGCATGTGGATAGTAGATTCAGAGTGTGTGTGTGTATATAGTGGAGGCAGTGTGTGTGTGTGTGTGTAGAGGATGCATGCAAGTGTATATAGTGGATGTAGTGTGTGTGTGTGTGTCAGTGGCAGATCTGGGGAGGACACACACTGTCCCCACTGTACCCCGATGCACACACTGCCCCCCACTGCACCTTCATACACACACTACCCCCTCACACACTGCCCCCACTGTACCCCCATACACACACTGCCCCCACTGTACCCCCATGCACACACTTCTACCCCATAACACACTCATCCACTATACACACCACCCACACTGCCCACACTGCACCCTCATACACACACTGGTCCCATACACACAGTGCTCACACTGCACCCCATGCACAGACTACTCCCCTCACACAAACACACACTGTCAAATACACACACACTTCCCCCCATACACACACTATCCCACATACACACGCACACACACTCCCCCCCTTGAACACACACTGCCTCCCGTATAGGAGAACAGAAAGGGAGGTATGTGGGAGGGGAATGAAAGGGGGAATGGAGAACCCCGAAATATCTGCCCTGGGCAAGGATATTGTTTTAGGTTAGTATTGTAGTGTTCTCATGTTTTGCAACTGTTGGAAAACATCTTTATGGACCCTAAGTACAGTTTTGTTGATTTGAGTGCTCTAATGACTAAGGAAACTTGTGGACTACCAACTGGCTTCCAATAATTAGTTTCTGCAGCAATGCTGCCTCTGACAGGTTAACTGACACCCCATTGATAACGAGAGTATTTAATGGAGGTTCTCTGTTGTATTAGCTCTGCTCACTGATCAGCCACAACTTATACTAATATAGTGTAAGTCCTATTCGTGCTGCTAAAACAGCTATGGTGCGTTGAGGCACGGACTCCGCAAGACTTTTGAATGTGTCCTGTACTATCTGGCACGAAGACATTAGCAGCAGATCCTTTAAGTCCTGCGAGCCACGGCCTCCATGGATCAGATTTGTTGTTACAGCACATCCCACTGATGCTCAATCTGTTTAAATCTGGGAAATTACAGGGATCTCCCCACTAGATTTGCTGTTTTGGAGATGTCTTGACTAAGTTGTCTAGCCATCACCATTTGACCCTTGTCAAAGTCATTCAGACCTTTCCGTGTCCCTGTTTTTCCTGTTTCCAATATATAAAATTCAAGAACTGACTGTTCACTTGCTGCCTAATATATCCCACCTCTTGACAAGTGCCATTGTAACACTATAACCAATGTTATTCACATTAACAGTTTGGGATTTTGATGTGGTTGATCAGTGTACAGCATATGCATACCTCCCAACAATCGTGAGAGGGAAATCGGAACTGTGTGGGCATGGCCCTGAGAGAACATCATCAGTGATGCACACCATGTCACTAGCGACACCCATAATGGATGGGCCCCTATTTAAAAGGGATGGGCCGGACCACTGCCAGGCTGCCTGACCCATCCCCAGTTTTATGTGTCCTGCAGGGAGAACTTCCATAGTACTAACAGTGTATGCTGTTTGCTCTGTGCTGACTGAGGACAGTTCCCTGGTGTAAGAAGATGTGGGACACCAGGGAACCAAAGCAGGGCATGATCCCCAAATTGAGACTGTCCCACCAAAAGTGTGACTGTTTGGCAACCTGATAGACTGCTTAATTTTTCAGTAAAACACTAGGTCAGCAAATTAATGCCATCTACATAGTTTAGGTCACTGTGTAAAAGGTGAATATCCAAAACCTCCCATTTTTAAGGAACGGACCCTATTTTGCGACCAAATAGCTCTCTCTCTCTCTTTCATATCCCTATACCCCCCTCTTATTTTTAGTGTGTTTGAGTGTATAATCAGCAATCATACTCAAAATAAAATATTTTTAAAAATCAGTCTATTCAAAAATTATACTTTTAGTTTTGTTCTAGATCACATTTAAAAAATAAAATGGCATAAATGGTTATCAGTATTTTATAAGGACACAAAAAATATCTAGATATACCCTTACTCCTGGCCATCTTTCTATCCACACTGGTGGACATCCGTACAATCCCCATAAGAAAGCAATGCAGGGAGCTAATGCACTCACCATGCATGCGCATTAGCGCCCCCCTCCCCCTCATCGGATGATATTGGAAGTACATCTGTGATGGAGGAAAGTGGCATGAGGGAGTGGGGGGAGGGGGATCAGAGGGCTCTATAGAGTTAGGGATACAACTTTGTATTCCTAATGTTATAGAATCCCTTTAAAAGCCCCATCCATACTGCATTGCCTTTGCTCATAAAGTTGCTATGAAATTGCCAGGTCAAGTGTATTTTTAATATCTGTACTAATTGTAATGCATGTTTTTTCCTCATTATATGTGGGGATTTCCCAGAGGAATAGTGACTTCAGTTTTTATGTGATAAGTGTTACATGTAGTAACACAGATTTCGTAATATTGGTCCAATTCGCATAGTCTCAAAGTAAACGTAACCGAAGTGCACTCTAAATATGTAGAGTAACCCTAATGCTCTTCAAAACTTCAGGCTGTATATTTATTTACCAAAGTATATGAATTGCATCATAAATTTAGTCTATATGCAGACAAATGTATTCATGATTTTAGATATGAGAATTAATGGTGAAATATTTGAGGAAGCAACAAGAGGCTTAATCATCACACAGCATGCTGACAAGATGTGAGTTTTTTTTTTGTTTGTTTGCAAATACACAATACTAATAAAATAAAATAGACATTTTACACTACTAGCAATGTAAAGCACATAATACTTTAAAACACAATTTACTCTGTTTTGCAAAAGATGTAAGCCCTCAAATTTGTATTCCCAAATTTTAAATGTTTCAAGCAGAAATATGTCCTAAAATTTAATTTTTTAAGACCATTTTAGTTAAAAGATTTTACCATATGAAAACACTATTGCCTAACTTGCCTTATCCAATAAATGATGTCCTCATATAAACTGTGTTACACATTAAATACCAGTGATTCTTGTTTTGTTATGTCCAAACATGCTACCAAAACTGTATTAAAATGATGCACAAATCCACCTTTTAATTTCCTCCAAGTTTAAATTGGGCCTTCATGTACTTTATTTCTTTATAGTTTTTTTCCAGCCCATTTGTATGATGTCCCCACACATTATGCAAATAGAAATATTAATGTTATAACAGACAATGGGAATAGGGCACTGCCTTGCATCTGCCCGTTATCATCTATATACAGTGGCATACACACAATCCATGGAGCATTGTGCAAAATTGATCCATGGGGACCTCCCCACCCCCACCATCCTATTACCTACTTTTTAGGTGCAGGAGGGTGACTTCCCTGGGGTGCAGTGGCTCAGGTTAATGGGAGTCAGAGTTCCCTCTCTGACTCCCTCTCCTTCCTGCTGCGCAGCTCCTGGTGGTTGCTAGGAGGGGTGACTGGGCAGTCACTTCCTCCCAGCGTCTGACATCATCAGAGGGGGCCCGGTCGTGCTGTTACCGGGCCCCCTCTGATGATGATATTCATTTCCATCGGGTGGCCCTAACAGCATGGGCCATCCGATGGACTCCTTCACGTGCGGCCCCGGCAATTATACCGCGTGGCCAGGGCCACAATACACAGCGGCAGGCACCCGGTCACACCATGTATAAATACAAAGTACAAAATAAACATATCCAGGAATATCCAGTATACGTTTATTTTGTACTTTGTATTTATACATGGTGATCAGGGCTCGAGTCCTGCAG